GAAGAGCGTGTGACCATGCTGGGCCTGCTCACAGGAGCCCCACGGACACAGCGTGGGCACCGGGCCCTCTGGACCCCCTGGCAGGTTGCGAGAGGACCCTCCCTTAGCACACCTGGGCTGTAGCAGAGAGTAAAGTGGGCACTCATTTCCCTGCTCCTTCCTGTTTCTTGCTTCTCATTGGCGCTGGTTCACCTCAGAAAGATCAGAGCCCCTGTACTTCTGGGGTTTCTGGGGTGCTCTTTAGGAATGGGGACCCCATTTCCCCATCCCATGGAGTAGCTTCTTCCCAGCCTGCAGTGGGGGCAGCCCGGCTTGTGTGACACCATGTGAGAAGGAGAAGGAAGAGCAGGCAGTCGGGGAATGAGACGGTTCAGACATTGTGCTACCGTTCAGACAAGGAGCTCTGCTCGGAGATATGACAGCTGTTCAAGCAGAACAGGCCAGGACAGACTCCCAAAGTGAATGAAGGAGGCTGGTTTAGAGAAAGATTTACAAGATCTGCACTCACTGGAGTGGACAGGCCAAACCCCGTCTTTTAAATAGTTACTAGTACATCACAGCAGTAGATCGTAAAGAGCTTCCGTGGCTAGGTTGGGGCAAGGCACACTCGATGGCGCTGTGTTTCTTCAAACATGATTCGTCCTTATGTGTTTGTAAAACCAGGGGGGGACCAGCTTCTGTATGTGTGTGGGGGGGACGGGGGGCGGGGGGGGACAGTGGATGTGGAAGCTACTACTTTAAAAATGATTTAAAGTTTACGATGATCAGAATGAAGGATTAGACTAAAGAATTTGATCACAAGTGTCAGGACTCTTCCTGCCAAAATGACAAAACCCAGTTTTACTAGCAGGGGCCTGAGTGGGGTGAGCGGCCTCTGAGCTGCCTCTGAGGGGAGAACAGGAGCGCAGCGGGATTGAGGAGTGACCGGAACTGTGGACCAAGGCCTGCCAGGACGCGAGCTTCCTCACCTTTGGCCTTGTCTGTGTAAGGCAGTGGTTCTCAACCTTCTGGCCCTTTAAATACAGTTCCTCATGTTGTGACCCAACCATAAAACTATTTTCGTTGCTACTTCATAACTGTAATGTTGCTATTGTTATGAATCGTAATGTAAATGTCTGATATGCAGGATGGTCTTAGGCGACCCCTGAGAAAGGGTGGTTCGACTGCCAAAGGGGTCGCGACCCACAGGTTGAGAACCGCTGGTGTAAGGACTTCCGTTTTCTTTGACTGTAGCCCACCCCACACAGCAGGACCCAGCGGGTTCATTCAGCAGCCTGGTTTAGAGCTCACTGCTTTGTCCCTGCGGAAGGATTGCTCTTCCACACCCATCCAGCACTTCCTGGAGAGGCTGCCCACCGGCTTAGCACACACCAGGTGCTCTCCACGGACCAACCAACTCTGGGCAGGGCTGCAGACTTAGTATCATTTTTAAATGACAGTTCACAAGGTGCCATGTGGAGGAGGGGAAATGTGGGTCTAGGATGTGTGTGTCTGCAGTGGGGAGCAGGGTGGTTGCTGGGGAGAAAACTGCATAGTATCCACTGCAACCAAAAGCTCAGAATACTGCCATGTGCCAAAAATCATTCCTGCACCCCTAACTCCCCAGCAAGAGCGAAGGGCTCCCAATCCTCCGGTTCTGCCCTTTCCCTTCCTGCCACTGCAGAATCGCATGCTTGTTGTGTTGGATGGAATCGTTTTTTCCAGAAGCTCTCTGTTCAGGCTCTGAAAAATCTCACTACCAGCTCCGCAGACGGCCCTGCCCGCAGCTGTATCCCAGCAGCTGAGATTCCCTGCGAACCCCACTATCTTTCCCTCGCAGCTAGGTGGACTCCAGTTTTAATCTGTTCGGTCGGTTGTTTTTGATGGGAATTTAAATTGAACAGGAGACTGAGAGCATGATGGGGCTGCTAGCTGCTGAGCTGGAACCTTCTGGAGCCATTTCTCACGGCCCGAGACGGGGGTGGCGTGCTGAGCTGTCATACGCAGTGCCAGGCCCCTGTGTCTCAGCAAATTTGTAGGTAATCTTCCTTGACCTTGGTCTTTTACGTCAGGGCGGGAAGGCTTTCTAGTCTTAGATCAACAGGACACCTGCTTCCTAAGGGAGGGGAGGGGTGTGCTGCCCTCGGCCTGGACCCGCACCTTCCACTTTTGGCCTTCCCATGGGAAGGGCAGGCAGGGCCATGCTTAATAAGAAACCTGAGCACTCATTTTTTAAACACAAAAGATAGCAGTATCCCTTAAAGAGAGACGCGAGGGGACCCTCGAACGTCTCCGTGGCAGGAGCTGAGCCTGCCATGTGGTGGCAAAGGTGGAGGCTTTGACGTGATACATATTACTTTCTGTTCTTGATTGCATATCTTTTTTTATTGTTCTCTCTTGTTGTGAAATGTATTAACTATAGCAAAAATACCCTCCACCCAGATTTGCAGATGTTCATATTTTTGCAGTATTTTTCTTTAACAGAGAAGTGTGATGTATTACAAATACCATTAAAGCTCCGTCTACCTCCCCAAACCCTCCCTCCCTCCCTCCTCAGTAATTACTATCCAATGTTGGGAATCTGTCATCCCCATGCCTGGTTTTGTAATGTCTATATGTAAAAATATTGTCCATATACACTACATTGAATAGTATTGCTTGGCATTTAGCCATACAAATACTTTTGCAGTCAGTCCCAGTGCTGTTGCTTACTTGTAGGAACCATGGACGAGTTGTGCCACCTTGAGCCACCCAGAGATGTGTTAAGATGCTGGGTGTATAAATCTTGACACAGTCCAGGTGAGCGAGGATCAAGAACTAAAGAGAAGGAGACAACCTTGATAGTATGGCCGCAACATCAGCAGTGCTTGGTGGCTGATTTGATGTATGGAATGACAGGTGACTCTCGTGCCATGCAGGTATCTGCCTGGGAGAATACTGTCAGGCTGAGACCGGGAGAGTGGTAGGCAGTGATGTCGCCCTGGGACAGTGGCTGTGATAGAGTCCCTTTTCCATCTGTGGGGTTGGGCACTTCCAACCCACTCCTGGGTGCTCCCCATGTCCTTGGAATGAGGACCAGAGGCAGCTGGGTTTGGGGACCTGAAGTTCAGGCAGCCATTCTGAGCTGGTGGTTCCTTTAGCCTCCAGTGAACGTGAACATTGCAGGGTGGGCGGGGGAGTGGGTGGCGGGGGTAGGCGGGGGGGTGGAGGGGGTTCGGGGTGGTGGAGAGGGTTGCTCAGTGTGGATGGCTCCCACATCACCTTTACCTGGAATCCATAACATGGTTCACGCTTGCCACTTTTTACAGAACTCTGATAGGTGGCAACAGGAGATCTGGTGGGATCACCCAGTGGCCAATCAATTTCAAATATTAGAGTTATGTTTGAAACATCTTTTACTTTCTGATAACCTATGTGACTTCCTTGATCATGCCTTAGTGTTAATAAGCTCGTAAACTTTATTAGCTCCTGCATTGCTTCTTGTATTTGCCTGAACTTGTCCCCTTGTTGCACTTCAAGGAGCCCTGGGGTTGCTGGCATACCTGGTGTCCTTGCAGTCCCTTCCCCGCCTTCCCAGGTTTGTTTTGTTGTTCTCTCTTATCTTAGAATCCTAGTCTTCCGTCTGTCTGCAGCGAGTGTTTCTCCCCAGGACAGGAGCCGGGGGACCACTCACGTGCTCCTTGTCACTCACTGCCGACCTGGGTCAGGGCCTTTGCTTCACCTTCACTAGTTAGCAGCTGGTTTTGACGTGGAAATGTCTCCTTTTGCCTGAAGGAAAGGTGCCTGCCCCTGCCCCTACCCCTACCCCTACCTTGACCCCTACCCAGTAAAATGGCCTGGCAGGCCTCCTTCTGGATGATAGGAATGGACCCAGTAGTGTGGGATGGGGAGGTTGTCACTGTAAAGGTCCAGAAAGACCTGGGAAATTGAGGGCAGGGAGCCACTGTGGGTGGGACGGAACCCAGCTCTGGGTTTTCTCTCTCCTGTCTGCTTTCTTTCCTCTCTCCTCTCTCTCTTCATCACCCATCTTCCTCCTTTCTGTTTTCCTCTTCCTCTTCTTCCTCCTCCTTCCCCCTCCTCCTCTGCCCAGCCCGCCCCTGCCTCTCTTTATCACTGTTGCTGGGTGATATCTAAGTCTCGGTCACTGTCTTTCTCTCTCTTTCCTCTGTTCTCTCAGCTCTTCCCCCCAAAACTGGCAGCTGGCCTATAACTGTATCTGAACTTAACCTCTGGTCTATAGTTGCCCCGACTCCAACACCAAATAACCTTCTTGCTCGAAAGCCCAGGGCCATCTGGCGGTAATCTCTCTGTGAACAGGATTCACTCCCGAGAGAGAGCCGTTGGCTCAGCTCCTCTTCCTGAGCTGGACACACTGTCCCGGCTGCTGGCCAGCGAGGAATGGGGCCCCCCCCCTCCCTGGGCCAGTCAGCAGTGGCAGGGGTGAGGGTGGAGATGGAGTCCCTCAGAAGGGGTTTGTGAGGGTACCACTAGCCCAAGAACTATGTCAGAGGACCCCTCCAATGAACTTACGTTACACCAGAGTGGTGACCCTAAATTTGGCTCAAGCTCTGGATGGGAAGTCACTATTTATAAACTTTTTGCTGTCACTTCTGCACTAATTCAAGGACATACATCTCTGAAGTAATGGATTTACCATCTCCCAGCCACACCAAACGCACATGAAATTAAGCTTTCAGTCAAAGTGTTCGTTGTATTCACACGTGAGGGTGCAGAGATGGGCTTGGCTGACTCCGAACAGTCCGCCTGGAGAACATGACCTGTGCTTTTCGGTCATGAAGACTTTAATAGTGATTTGAAACATGTACCCCCAAAGTTGAGAGTCCTTTGTAATAATTGTCACCAGGACAGTGAATGGCAGAGGGCAGACCCTGCACCCCGCTCCTGGGTGCTCCCCATGTCCTTGGAATGAGGACCCAACCTCCGGGGCCCGCGGAGAAGTGTTCGCCCGTCCTCTGCGCTCTGCATGCTGCAC